TAGCTAAAAAGAAATTTCTTTTTTTACGAATAGATAGAGCGTCTTTCGCTCTATCTTTCTATGCTATTTGATCAGTATCTAACTAAGATCATACTAATAAAATTCCGACGAAAACATTTTTAGTGCAACTCTAGCTGGTAGCAATAGTGCATAAAATCATCTACACGTGTTTTTTTTCGTTTTTTCTTGCTTTTTCTCTTGTTGTTTCTTTCATCATCGTCTTCTTATCTCTTATAATAACTGTCCATCCATACGTACATATACATTAACGCGTCCGCGGTATTGTTTTCGTGTGCACGTGTCGTGTATTTGCTTATATTCAAGAAAGTCAGAAAAATAAAATCAACTTTAACTTTGGCCCTATTTTCCTGTTTCAAATGAGTACAGAAAACTTCCGTTTCTACATTAAAGTGCGTACTGCCCTTAATATTCAGGCAAGAATTATTCATGATGAACTGTATTCTGTTTATGGTGATCAAGCTCCTTCTCTCACAACAGTGAAAAGATGGTCCCAGCTGTTTCGTGAAGGTCGAGAAGAAATTGAAGATGAATCACGACCTGGTAGACCCATCACTGAAACAACATCCGAAAATATTGAAGAGATCCGCCTTCTTATCAATGATGATCCTTATCTTACAATAGAAGAGCTACAAGAGCAAACTGATTTAAGCTATGGTACGGTTCATCGAATCATCACCGATCATTTAAACCTTAGAAAGGTCACCGCACGTTATATACCCAAAGATCTTACCGATTTTCAACGGGCTGAACGAGTTCGAATATGTAAAGAAAACTTAGCAAAATTTCAACAAGGAACATGGCGATTATGTGATATAATAACTGGTGACGAATCGTGGTTTTATCATAAACAAATTGGTCGAAAGTCGTCAAATGCAGCGTGGATGAGAAGAGGAGATCCTCCACCTACTGTAGTTCGACAAAGTAAGTATGCTTCAAAGACCTTATTATCCATCTTTTTTAAGTCAAATGGTCCTGTTTTCATTCATCATTTGGAACGGAGACAAACAATCGATCACCAGTATTACATCAACAATTGTTTACGGCCTCTTGTCGATGAAATCAAACGTCAAAGACCCTCATATGGGACGCGTGGTATTAAAATTCACTACGATAATGCAAGACCACATGTTCACGAAGATGTGTCTAGTTATCTTGAATCGGAACATCTCACAATAATACCACATCCACCTAATTCTCCAGATTTATCACCATGTGACTTTTGGTTATTCGACTTAATCAAACGAAATCTGACCGATCAAAGTGATTCACAATCATTATATGATGCTGTGGTCAATTTCATGTATTCTTTGGGTAATGAAGAATATAAAAAAACATTTGAAAAATGGTTTGAAAGAATGGAATTGTGTATAGATAACCAAGGTGATTATTTCGAACATTTGATGAAATAAACAATTGATAAACTTATCCTTGTATTTTGTTTTGTTCTATCATTATTACTCTTTGTCCATTGTGAAATATATGGACAGTCAGTTATTAAAAGAGATAAGAAGACGATGATGAAAGAAACAACAAGAGAAAAAGCAAGAAAAAACGAAAAAAAAAACGTGTAGATGATTTTATGCATTATTGCTACCAGCTAGAGTTGCACTGAAAATGTTTTTGTCGGAATTTTATTACTATGATCTTAGTTAGATACTGATCAAATAGCATAGAAAGATAGAGAGAAAGACGCTCTATCTATTCGTAAAAAAAGAAATTTCTTTTTAGCTA